ATATCTGCAATTCTGTTGCTAGGATGAACTTCACTGTCTGTTTTAATTCAATCAGGGATCCAAAAAGTTTGGCTTTCGCCTGTGTTTCTCATGGCCAAACGTTTTGTCTTGATATGTTGTACCTGAGACAGTCTTGGAGGACATGATCTATTGTCGCAGGTGCTAATCCACATGTCTTCATTCTGTATTGGTGTATACTGATAAAACTAAAGCTATATTAGTCTTTCCTCTTGTGTCGAGTGCGGCGCATAGGGCAGAGGTCATGACTCTCCATGAATGGCGGTTCGTTGCAATCTGTTGTAGGTCTTGGATGTTTGAGTGGCCCATGAGCAAGCCTTCCCTGATGATAGTTCTACGTAGGGTTTCCCTTGGTCTTCCACGAGACCTTTTCCTCTGTGGTGTCCAAATGAGGGCTTGGTAAGGAAGTCTTGATTTATCCATTCTAAGGGTGTGGCCGACATAGTTCCAGCGGCGTTTTCGTATAAAATTAGACACATACTCTTGCTTTATTTGTGTATTCGTTCGGAAATCTGACCATTTGAAATTTAGTATTCTTCTAAGGCATTTATTTTACAAAACTATCTAATTTTGTGTCTAGAGTTTTCGTTGATTTCCAGCTCTCGCATCCATAGGTTAGTACTGGAATCACACAAGAATTGAAGATCTTGAGTTTTGTGTGTTTGCTAAGTGTCTTTGATTTCCAGATGTTGGAGAGCAAAATATTCCAAGCAGTAAATTGTGCAATGTATTGTCTGTGTCCTCATAATTTAAATTTATATAAATTATTAAACGATCTCAATTGTTTATTTGAGATGGCTATGTTAACTTACCATTATATATATGTATAATAGATTCACAGTGACGACTAAATTCTGTATGCTCTGTGTCAATGACAATTGCGTCTATTTTATTCTTTGTTGCCAGTTTGTATGTGCAGTCATAATCTCTGCAAAAATGTTAACGAGGAAAGCTGATAACAGTCATATCAAATAAACAATTGCACAGGTGAACGAAGAACAGTGATTACCTCAGCTGGAGGTGATAGTTTACAAAGATAGTCATTAGTTATGGTTCCAATTTCATGGCAAATAGGTCACACCACAATTGTTCAGTATGTGAGCCAGTAAAAGCCATAAAAAATGCCCCACATTGCCCCAGTTGAAAACTAGTGGCAGAGATCAGATTGATGAAACACTGATACATGTTGAGGCAGACATGGTTAAGGCTTTATGGGAGCACGTGTACAGTTTGGAAAAGCAAATTCATCATCACATTCTGGTGAGAGTGATGCAGTGAGAAGTGACAAGCAGATCTGGCCGGTACTTGACCTCAAAGGAAAGGCAAGACAGACATATACTCAGACTGCTACTGAAACCATTGGTATAGGAACTCTGGGTTGGCTGCTGAAGATGGAGATGGAGCCCTTGTGGCAATGCCCCGAGTGCTGTGATGTCGGTTTTTGAATCAAATCAAATTAAATCAATCAGTGTGGGCAAAATCTATCAGGTTGCATATGAAGTAAATGCATAAAGCAGCTAGCAGAAGTGACAATACTAACAGTTCATCACTGGAACTGAACTTCATCATTGAAGGAAGAAGCAGTACCACAAACTAACAATTTTACATTCAATATTTTATAAGTCAGTTCAGACACAAACTAGACCACCAACCATTTTATGAACATGCAGTTCTCAACATCAACCACCAAAGGCACAGACAAAAAGCTTTCTACATGAAATCCACATCTCAGTAGCTAGCCAACAGACTGGTGAAATGCAGTAGCACTTAAAACTGGTCATAGCTCTTTCTTATGAAACTCAACAGATTTTTATTGGTTAGCACACATTCCTTTCTCTTCTTTTATTGTAGACAGCATTTTCATGAACTCATTATTAAGAATTTTTTTTTTTTTTCTCCTTATGCTCAAAGTCTTGTTTTCCTTTTAGTCTCTTGAGGCTCAGACATTGGCTACTTTCTTTGAAATAGAACTTTTCAGGATACAGGGAGTTAAAGTAAAATTAGTTTGTTCCAACAGAGTTGAAAAATGAGAAGTGGGTGTGAAGCATTTAACTAGAACACTGTGGTTTCTTTAAACAAATAAATCATTTCACAAAATGACCATCAACAACTGTTCTTGGTAGGTTGAGCAAAAATAACCATTTGTCTTCTGATCCTAATTTCCACTTGAATATATCAGTTCATGTGCTGGTGCCTTCTCTTTCTAAATTGGCTGCATAAGTATTGTAAATAATACTTATTAAATTTTCAGAAATGTAAATATATGTAAAAATAAATATGAACATGACACTCACAGTGCATAAAACTCAGGGTAGTTTGGTGAGGTCAGTTCATAAACATCTGTCGTTACTGTTACATTGTGTGTCTTTGAGCAGCGAATATTTCCTAGGGTATTCAAAAGAAAATTAACTTCATATTCAAAATATGTTGAACAGTAGAAAATACATAGCAAATAATCTTCCTCTTTTCCTTCCTCTTTTTCTTCCTCTCTTTCTTCCTCCCTTTCTTCCCCTTTATCTTATTCTTCCTCCTTTTCCTCCTCCTCCTCTTCTTTCTCTTCTTTTTCCTTCTTCCTTTTTTCCTATTTCTTCTTTTCCTCTTCCCTTTTTTTCTTTTTCTTCTTCTATTTCTCATTCTTCCACTGCTTCCTCTGCTTCTTTTTGCTGTTGTTTTTCTTCATCTTTTTCTACTGCTTCTTTTTCATATGATTTGTCTGTAGCCCCAACACTCACTGCCATTTGAAACTGTTATTACTTTGTGTTTTGTTATGATTTGCAGCCTGGCTGATTATCATTTCCAATAAACCTACCCATTGCGGTGGTTTACTGTTTGCTGACATCTGTGTTATGTGGTCAAACCATTTCACATGTTTTCATCAAATTAAACCCAGAGCTGCCGCTGCCTTCATTCTCCTTTGGATTTCATCATTACTGATATTATTTTATATATATATATATATATATATCGTAAGCCTTTTTTATGAATCTCATTTCAGTTGTTTTTTTTCCTTCTCTATTTATCTTTTTTGGCATTGGTAGCAGTGTTCTATAATATATGGACCGTTGGAGGTGCTGCAGACTTTGTGTACTGTGTTGAGATTCTTCTTTTGTGATCTGTGGGAGAGTACTGAAGCATTTAGGAATATATTTGTACAATGAAATTTTTCATTAATACAATATAAAAGAATGTGGAAACTAATATGAAAATACGTGTAAAGCATTACATGTTCTCTGCATCAGATATGTTTAAAAAAAATATTTAAAAACTTTTCAAAGCCACTGGATCAAAGGGACACATGTTGCTCAACTCATATTTTATAGTGAAAACTAAAAAAAACACTTGTGCACGCAAGTTGTGTTATGTCCTTTGTTTCTTATACCATTCAGTGAGATTCATAGTCAAACTGGTTTCCTGTTCATTTACTTCTTTAAAAATATTTTATGCGACTGTGTATTCCACTACAAACACTGTTCCTATTCCTTGTTGTCCTAGATCTTTCCGGGCCTCTGTTAGCCTCATGTCACCTCTGAACTCACAGAACTCAACTGTATTTTCATGACATGAAAGAAAGGGTGGTTTTCATCACTTGTGATGGACGAACTACAACAGTAACATCAAACTGACGTTACTTCCTGTGAAATGTCCTGGTACCAATTATAAGTTTAAACCCAAATATGATTCTCAGTTTATGTTATCCACATCTGTTAGAATGTCTTGAACTGTGATTGTTCCTGAGAGGATTAAATTGTGGCTACTTTCATTTACCTACACAATAATATGTATATGGTTTTACTAAAGTACATCTTACAGTGAAAGTATCTAAGCATCATCATAAGTAGGAATGGCAAGATGATTAAGGAAATGTTTACGTCAATTTTAGGATCAGTTTCAAATATCTTTTAAATGTCCTGATCTCAAAGTTACAGTCTATTTTTCCTGCCCTTGACTTCTTCTTCTCTACATCCTCTATTATGGCTTAAGTTGTCGAAGGAGTAATAAGGTCCTTCTTCTGGCTGCCTCGACCATAGACACATCGTGGGGCTGTAGAGTTTCTTTGATATTATCTTCGCATCTTGTTCTTGGTCTACCTCTTGCTTTAAATCCCTCTGGTCTTTTGGTATATGCCTTGTATGGTATAGCATCAGAAGGCATTCTCTCCAAGTGGGCAAACAATTTGATCTGCTGTCTTTGTATGTAATTTACAATTTGTTCTGTGCCGACTTTATCTAGCATGACCTCATTCTTGATTTTATCTCTTCTGGTCAATACTACCATCTTTCTCAGACACCTCATCTCTATAGTTACTAATTTTCTTTTATATTTTGTTGTGAGTGACCATGGCTGGCACTGGTAGCATAGGGTGGGAATGAATATGCTTTGTATGAGATGTTTCTTTTTGTGCTGATTGGGATTGCCTTATGCTGTAAGAGGAGGGCTAGCTGTCCCAATACTTGGCTAGCTTTACTGCATCAAATGTCAATTTCTCCGTCCAATTTACCACCTTCAGTCAATGTTGTTCCAAGATATTTAAACTCAGACTACTTCATATTCAATATTAACAGTCTTCTCTATCTAGAGCATCCCGATGGACCCAGCCTAACGTCGGCACCAACTAATGTCCTTTGAAGTAATGCAGGCTGGCTAGCAAGATGTCAGAAACTTTAGGCATCAAGTTAAATTATAGAATTATCACTACATTTCAACAGCACTAAATTTGCAGAAAGTCCCTTGACCTGTTTCTTTTGCATCTTACAGAACATTTTATCTTCTGCTAGTTGACAGACATGCATTTATGCAAGAATATATCATTTGCACTCAGCAAAGGTTTTTTCTCTGTCAAATCAACTGAAAACAATGGAATAATATGCTCCACAGTGTGTTTAACATTTTTTTAGAGAAAACTATTTCACTGTTTCATTTGTTATGTAACACGGTTTCTATACATGTAACCATTTCTTTAAAATGTCTCAATACATACTTACTAGGCACTGCATAGTAGATTATTCGAGCAACATTAGAATCTGCAACATCATCACTCTCATATAATACCAGCATCTTGTTTCCTAAGACCAGAATATGTGTAAAACTAATGCAATAGACAATTACTGGGCTTAAAGGATTACAGGAGATTTAAAAATAAATATTTCACGTTTAAAAAAAAAAGCTTCCTTTTAATGTGAATAAATTACTAAATTGCACTTTAGAGTTTTACTGCAGCTTCATCCATTTCATTTCTCCTGGTTATCTTTTCTTAGAACTGTTAGTTTTATCTTCCCTTAACTGGCAAAGGCTTTCTAGAGCAACGTCCTTTCTATTACGAGCAGCATATGTAACTTTATACACATGTACACTGTCCGGTTCCACTTTTCAAATTTTTTTATTGATTTGCAGTAGCATTTCAGTCTTTACAAAAATATCTAAAACAGTATATCGCTGATAAATTACAAATGGATAAAATCAATATATTATTAGGATCATGATAAAAATAATGTAATAAAAAGAAAGTCAGAATCAAGAAAACTACAGTAACCATCATTCAGTGTTAACAGAGAACATGTAACAGCACCACTGTTATATGGTAGCCAAGTTATATTTTAAGAAGAAATTATATGATTGAGTTTCTAATCAACTCCATGATGCAGATTTTAGTTAATTGTGTCACATTTTTTAGCTTAATTAACCAGTACAGTTGAAAATATTGCTAGAACTGGACACTGTGTCTTCTTACTTACCTGTCCCAATGACTCTAGTTTCACCTAAAAGATCTGGCTGATTGTTTGTGTGACATGTTGAAAATAACAGTGGTGAGGATTCAGTGTTGCCTGAAAATTATGTAATATGTTTTATATATTTATGTGTCCAAAAACATAACTGTCATAAAAATAGTATTGAGTCATTGTTGCAGGAACTATAATGACAATGTAGTAGACATACCTGCTTACTTCTCCGTCTTCTTCTTCTTCTTTGTTGCCCGACTGTAAGCTCCGGCAGAAAGTGCTGGTTGTTCATCCATCTGGACTTTGACATTGTGACAGGCCTGAGTCTTGTGTGTACATTTGTTTTACTGACTTATTTGAGTGCAGTTAGCTGTTCCTCGCCTCTCAAGCAGATGCACTCTGACTTCAAAGGAAGCTCCTAGTTAGTCAACGCCTATGACATGCTTGTTGGGAGGCAGTAGGTCTTTTTTTTTTTGATCCCCCCCCCCCCCCCCTTCTCCAACAGTGGAGCCCTTGAACCCATATAGTGGATTTGCTTACAAGATATTGGTGTGGATTCTTTTGTTTTTCTACAGTATATTTTAAGTGCCAAGAAAAGAAAGATTTCATGGGCTAGAACATGTGAAGATCTAACATTTCATACAAAATGGTAGTAGTTATCATCAGATTACCTTTATATTTTATGTTTCAGGGGACCAGCTTCATAAAATAGATAAAATAATTTTAGAAAAACTTTCTGGAAATTGTCATGAAATGACAAATGCAATGAACTGGCAACCTTATCATGCTATGACTAGAATATACGAAAGCCAAAACCCTTCACATCACGATGGCATATGTTGTATGATATATCAACCCCAGTAGGGATTCAAACCTATGACACCTGTGCCATCAGGGCAGCATGCAAATCAGTCATTGGTTCCCTGATAAACCAGTCTAGAATGAAAACAGAGAACCGGCCTGGGAGATGGAAGTGATTACCCAGATTCTGACCATATTAATTAAATTATTAATTGATTAATTAAAAAACAAAACATAATGGATACCATCATATGCCAAATATCTTACAAATCAAATAGCTTACTTTCTGTATCATAAATAAATAATGAGCATACTACAGTAGTAGTAGTTATAGTAGTAGTAGTAGCAGCAGAAGCAGCAGCAGTAATAGCAGCATTAGCAGCAAAAGCAGTAGTAGCTGTCCTAGTAGTAGTAGTAGTAGTAGTAGTAGTAGTAGTAGTAGTAGTAGTAGTAGTAGTAGTAGTAGTAGTAGTAGTAGTAGTAGTTGTTGTAGTAGTAGTAGTAGCTGTTGTAGCAGTAGTAGGAGTATTAGCTGTAGTAGCTGTCCTAGTAGTAGTAGTAGTTGTAGCAGCAGCAGCAGCAATAGCGCTAGTAGCAGTAGTAGTAGCAGCAGCAGTAGCAGCAGCACTAGCGGCAGCAGTAGAAGCAGCAGCAGTAGCAGTAGCATTTGTAGTAGTAAAAGCAGCAGTAGCACTAGTAGTAGTGGTGGTGGTGGTGGTTTGTAGTAGTACCCAGTTCAAATTTGTATGGTTACAATTTTAAATTCTTTTTTCCAATTAATAGACGTTAATTTTGTCAACTTACACTTTTTTAATTTTCTTCTTTTAGTTTTGTGTGTGTGTGTTTTTTTATATATTTTTTTATTTTGTGCTTCAGTGTCCATTATACAACAACTACAATTCAACTAAAATTGTCAATAATCTTTCTACACGTGCACTATGCTTGTGGAAAAATGGAGCTTATTCTATCGTTAACTGACCTTTTCAACTTTGCTACAAGATAAAACTTACCCAGAGATGAACTTATAAAGATTATGATAACACGGCTACCTAGAAATGTCAAGGGAACTAACGATGACTAGCCTGATATTGACCACAATTCTATCCTAGCTCTGGCAATATATTTCAAGTTTTGTTTATGAGATTGCAGTCAAACTGTTTGCCCCCCACTCTAAAGGTCAGAGGTTGGGTTCATGGACTGCAACTTTCATTTCAAAGGTGCATTTGTTTTTGGAGTTCCCTGGATATCATTGCATGAGTTATGGGGTTCGTACTTCACACAACAGTCTTAGTAGGTGACTAGTCATTCTGGAGAGCTGAGCTGCATGGAATAAAACTCAGAGTAATAAAGTCAATCCCATTGATATTAACTTTAAACTAGTGACTACAAAAATGTTGGTCTAGCACAAAAAAGCCCCATCAGATGGCATGAAAAGAATCTTTTATTATTATTTTCTCTTAATGAGACAAATCAATATAAATATATAATGTATCTCGTCAGGTGTATTCTATAGTAGTAATTATATAAATGTAGTAGATAAGTGAAACAGCAGTCAGCCAAACTTTCTATCTGCTTTGCCTATTATCAGGTTTCAAAATAACCCTGTGCCTACGCCCTCTGTGAAACAAACAGTACGTACGCAAGATCTAATTGTATCTACTAATTTAAATGTAGCTGTGAAGCTGCTTATGTGGTCAGAACGGACCGATGCCTGGAGAAATGAGTCGCTGAGCCCGTTAAAGTATGGGTGGAAAATGCCATGGAAAATAATATTCAAAGTGAGAATACTGGCCGCAAAGATCACCCCACCGCAATATCACGCCATCTTCTAAAATATGTGCACGTGGTAACTAAGGACAAAACAAATCCTTCATACATCAACCAATGGCAGAAGGCTAAGATTTCTTGAAGCTTGCACTTGGAACTCTGTATACAGGAATATATGGTTCTGACTTTACGGCTGCCCTGGTAAAACAGTCAGTCATGTTTGATTGTTGTTGAATTTGTACTTCAGTTATAAAGGATTCACTTATCTGCTTTATTTATGTAACTGTTACTGTAGTATGCACCTGACGAGATACAGTGAAATATGGCAAGCAATATACCGTGCAATCTATTGTTTGTGTCTTTTTTGTTCAAATTTACAATGCATTGTAATATAATTCAGTAACATGACTGTGCAGTAAAACTAAACAAGGAAAATTACACCTACCATCATAAACATTAACAAAATCCCCCAAACAGACATCTGATGCTGGATTATTGTTCTTCTGTCCTGCAAGATGAGACCACTGCAGCCAAAGTGCAATTGTGAGGTTTTCGTTCACAGCAGTGATGAGGTATTTACTGATACAGCTTCTGGTGATTGTCAAACATAAATCATGTGTCTAAAATAACATTACCCACTTAAAGGATGAGTGGACATGATTATACAGTTTCTTGATAATGGCTGTACACAATGTGTGGGTTCCAGGGCCTATTTTGTGCTGTGGGAGATGGAGAATAGACCCACTATCTCCTTAACAAGCGTGCTGTACAAGGTGGCTAAATAGGAGAGTTTCCGTTACAGCTGTACCACTACCTCTTGCATGAGAATGAGGGTGGAGGTGGCAAGTGCAGCTTTCTGGTGGCTAGAGATCAAGATGCATACACATGTCATAATTGAAACAGACTCTGAAAGCATGCTGAGAAAGGTGAAGACAGGGATGCTTCGAGCAGAATGGCAAGCTTCACTGGTAAGGTCACGAGTAGTAGCATACTTCAGATCTTTTTCCAGGCTATGCTGGCGTGGTGGGGAATGAACAGGCAGCCATACTGCTGGATCTGCACCACTGGGTGGTGAATTGATACGTGACAAGGCAAATGTGGTCAGGGCTTTTTTGGAACAAGCAACGGAGTCAGAAGCAAAACAGCTGGTACCATTAGTATTTGAACTCTGCGCTGGCTGCTGAGGATGAGGACGAAGCACACATAGGAATTCTCTGAGTGCTGTGATATCAATTCTTGACTCAGCTCAACTCAAATCAACCTGTTGATTCTGGCGAGGAACCAATAGTTTGCATATGAATTAGCCAAATCTGTCAAATGGATGTGTATACAAAACTCGAGATCTGGAACCAGACTAAAGTTCAAAAGTGGGCGAGCAGCCAAAACTTTCCACTTGAGTTTACAGCCAGTAAATGTGAAGAAGGAGATCAAAAATGGTGACTGTTTGAGATGGTTGTAGTAACATCAGTAGCAGTGGTAGTGGTGGTGATAATGTTAATATAAATAGTAGCTGTGGTGCTGGTAGTAGTAGTAGTAGATGTAGCAGCTTAATAGTAGTAATAATGGTGGTAGTAATAAAAGTATTTAAAACACTAATATACTGTTCAACACTTCTGGGTTCTAAGTGAAATATATGGAATCTGCTTAGTCGCAACCAAAACAGATGTAGCAGCTTAATAGTAGTAATAATGGTGGTAGTAATAAAAGTATTTAAAACACTAATATACTGTTCAACACTTCTGGGTTCTAAGTGAAATATATGGAATCTGCTTAGTCGCAACCAAAACAATCTGTTCTAGCATTATAATACTGAAATTCTGAACAGATGTAATGAAAATAATAGATGTTTTCCTGCTAACACTGTTTTGCAAAGCACAACAGTCTGTAGTTCCGGCAGTGACCCCTCAGGAATCTCCAAACCCCTGCACTTGAAAACTGTAAGAGGCAGTCTAATACCATCCTCAGTGCTTTTAGGTGACGAGACAAATCTAACCATAGTTTAATCCAATCAAATAGCAGTGTGTACATATATGTTTTAGTATGTATACGTGTAAAAAAAACAAAAAGGGGGAGGGTGGGGGTAACTGAATGTAAAAGATATTAATGCTGTCTACTTTCTTTTTGAGCTAATAGAAAGAAAGAGTAATGTGTGTATGCATGCTTGTGTATGAGTGTGTGTGGGAGCAGATGTGTGTATGTGTGTGTACATATGTGCATGCATGCATAAGTGTGTGTTTTTGTAAGCTTTATACCCAATTTATATATGTGTGTGTAAACGTATACGTATACTAGTACTTTCACCGTAATCTAACCCCAGCCAAATCTGTAACATCCTTACTGTGCAGGAACTGTGTGCTTAAAACCCCTGGGTAAAGTATCCTCCATCAGCAAAGATGTGGTTGCTAACTTTGTGAGGCTGACTCCAGAACATGGTGGTTCTGCAAATATTATAATAATGACAGTATAAAACCTAAAATAAGGGTTCAGTCCCACCCTCACCGGACAGCAGTTATTTGCTAACTGCGTATAGTTCAGTATGACTGTTTTATACTGTTGTACAGTTTCTGGGATTTCCTCTGCTGGATTAGCAACCTTCTTCTTCTTAATTGTGTTCACTGGCAGTAAACTTTGGCAGAAAGTTCTGGTTGTTCATCCACTCCTCAATTTCAGTCTTGTTCCAGAACTTGAATTGTGTGTGCACATCTGTTTCCCAGATCTGACTTATTTCTATGCAGACTGTTAGCTCCTCACTTCTCAGGCAGATGAGTTCTGATTTTAGATGAAAAAATCCCTAATTATATGCCTTGCATGACATGCTTGGTAGAGTGGTAATTGTTACATTCTTTTTTCCCCCCAGAAATGGGATCTCAGAACCCACACTGGGAGGATTTGCAGCAAAATAGTTACTGCTTCTTGAATCAGTGAATGTCAGTCTTTCATCCTGCAAATCTTGGAGTGGAATTTTTTTTTTTTATGCAAAAAAAAAAAAAAAAAAAAATTGAAGATGTGACCCAAAGATGAAAACAAGAATTAACACCTAGATGATTATCGGAATAATTATGTTATGTTATGTTATGTTATCACAAGTGACACCTTTGCACATTTGGGCATCCCCATGCGTGTTTAGTCCCCTGATGCAGCAGCCACTCCAAGGTACCTCTACTGATTGTTTCAATGAGGAGTTGGTTATAGTATCTCCTATCTTTACCTTAAAGACAACACAGGCGTGATTCACCAAGCTTAACTCCCCGTCACACAGTCCTGTTAGCGCAAGAGATTCACCATTATCTCCCAACCTAGTCCATACAGCGTTCATGATTTCAGCTTTGTCCATGCTTCTTCCTGTTTGCATTGGTGCATAATAATTAAAAAGTAGATACTTGTCCACAAAATGCCTTATCAATTGATGATGACAACACTTTTCAATAAAGGGTTTAGATTATTACTGCTTAAAACACAATGTGTGATGCAAAAATCAAATCTTCATATGGTAAGAAGTTATGGCTCCATTTCTTTTTTTTTTAATCAATTTAGAATATCAGCTTCTATAGAGATAAGAAGCTATGACCACAAGCTGATATACAAACATGCTAGTCACTTCACCCCTGCTGCACACTTAGACCGGGTAAATCAAAATTTTAAAAAATAAGAAACATCCTCTTTTTTATAGTGTGTTGTGTGGTGTTGGTAATCACATACATCCACATCCTTTTGTCTCGTTTAAAGGTAAGACAGTAAAGGACCCTTCTCAACCCTTTCAAACATACTGAGTATATAGGGCTAGACCTATTTAATAGGCTAGACCTATTTAATAGACCACTCTGCACTCTGTCGGTGATGTGGTCAACTGTCTTTACTTCCCTGGATTTTAAATGGTACCCATTTAAGGCTTGTTCAACCAGGGAGCCAAGAACATTTCTGAAAAATATATGGCCCATCAGGACCCAAATCCATGACCTTCTGATCTGCAGGTGAGCATCTACACTATGGCGGCCTTCTTCTGTTTCCTTTACTGTTAGTCATTTCTAATGTGGATAAGCAAGAAGGAAATCAGTGATGAAAATAACGGAATAAAATCAAGATTTGGACAAGCAAAAAAATCAATCCTCTCGACTTGAACTTTAACCTATCGTTTGCAGACTGGTCTATAAAGAAATATAGGTCCAAAACAATGTGTATGATATGTGTTTATGTGTATGATGTGCCTATGACATGAAAACAATCCTCTACTTATTTATTTTACATGTCCAACAAAATGTACAAATACAAATTTAAGTAATATTATTCTGCCCTAAACCCCCTCCCCCTGGCCTAAAAAAAAAAAAAAACTTTACCATCATAAACCGTTATTTACAAAGTCACCCAAAAAGGTATGTTGTATTTGAAATATAACGCATAATCCAACATAAACCACATACATTTAAGGTGCAAATATCATCACTGAGCTAAGCCAGCTACGTCCCAGCAATATGCAGCTATTATAATCATCATCATCATCATGTCCTGGGTTCAAAAGCATAGGCTGTCATGTTTTGCCATCTCACATGACCACCAGAATCATGGATTAGGTCAATGTTCTTGTCTCAGCCCATCCATGTGGCCAAGACATCCATCTATTTATCTCTTTGCCTTTCTGTTGCTCTCTTCCATCAATCTTGCCAAGTTCCCAAGTCCATTCTTCCTTATAAGATGTCAAAAAACACTGACTATCCATGTCTAATTGTTCTAAACCATTATAAGACTAACATTCAAAGTGAACCACACAAGTACTCCTCACATGCTACAACAGCCATGAGATTTTCACCTGCTGACACTGCCTTTAGAAGAATTTGTTCTCCAGATGTGACCACTACGGCTGCATCCATCAGTAGGTACATGGGGAACTGATGCTTGTTGCAAGATTTCTCCACCTGGCTCATGTTGCCTTGGGCTCGGTACCAACAGAAACAAAAACATTTTCTTAGAATATAATTTTTTTTTGAGTAATAATGTTGCTTGCTACATGAGTATGATTTCTCATATTGTGTTTATCATCACCTATTGCTATAGTGTGAGTCGTGGACCATCTCCCAGTCCTTAAGAAAGAGAATTGGGGCTTTTGAGCTGAAATGCTATAGAAAGATTCTCAGAAAAGCTTGGTCAAAGAAGAGGAGAAATACTGACATCCTGAAAGATCTGAACATCACGGAAGATTGGCTAATAAACAGCATCCTGTCTTGGAAGAGTCACAACAGATTGGAAAAAATTATAGCAGAAGGCATGGTAACAGGAAGAAGGGGCAGGGGCCTACCAATACAAAGATGGGCACAGGATAAAAGTGACCCCTTGAGTGTGAAAGTACATGAAGCGGGAAAGCTGGCGAGAGACCAAGTTTCTTTCAGGCAGACCATGATGAGAGCGATTTTCTGCAAAGGACCTGTTACATGATGATGATGTTTGATATTGTATCTGTATTATTTTTTTTTTTATGTATACCTGTGTATTAAAGAATTAACTGCTTTGTTTTCCTTTGGTATTTTTTTTTTTTAGTAAAGTGATGTATTATAAGGTCATAAATGACATGACAATTTTTTTTAAGTATATTTAAACTTCAATAACATCTCACATTTTTTGGGCACATTAAGTCACACCAACCATGTCTACACAGCATGTAGTCGTAGTCTCTACCAAGCCTGTTAAATAGATGTAATCATTGGTGACTGGATCGCCCAATGACTTGCCGGTAGACAACTTCATCGCTGGTCAGGACAGTAGTTGAGTATGTTTCCTTTGACAGCATCAACACTGCAGGAGTCCTATTCAGAGCTCTTGGTGGCATCTAGTGCAAAGCCATTTTAGATGGCTCACATAACCTAGTCACAATTATAACCTAAAACTGGTTGAACGAAACCATTTTTTTTTTTCCAGCAAAGCACCAAAACCCACATATGTGTTGTTAAAAATATCTTTTGCAGGGCGACAGATTTAACATATGGACACATAAGGAGCTGTCTTCTTTTTCTGTATTCACTTTTCAAAAGGCTATTGGCACGTAGTGTTTTGGTCAACAACTAGGTGGTGATATTTGTGCCCTTTGGCCCAGCATATCCAGTTACTGTAAAATCCTTCAGAAAGTAATGCTTCGTATCGTTTTCCTCAGCTAATAATGAGGATAAAGAAAGCATAATAAGAAATGTCAAAAAATGACCAGACTTGTGACAGTTATGATCCGCTCGTAATTGGTGGCAAGCCTATTGTGGAATTTTGTTATGTAGATGACACAGTCCTACTTTCAAACAGTGTAAACTGAAAAGAACATTTTATTGTGTGTGTCCAAAAACATAGTGAAGATCAAAACATGTTCTTAAGTTTAAAGAAAACAAAAATAATGTCCACAGACAAAACTGTCTGTCACCCAAAAGTAACAATAAATGATGAAGAAATTGAACCGGCCGGCGGTACGGTCCCAAAACATGCAGAACTGGCCCTAACCCCAACCCCACACGAGAGAGTGCAGAAAGATTCTCAAAACAACATGGACAAAGAAGAGAAGAAATACTGACATTCTAAAAGATCTGAACATCAAGGAAGATTGGCTAACAAATAGAATCTTTTTTCAGATGCTGAAAAATGTTTGCAACAAACGCAGCAGATTGCAAAAAATAACAGCAGATGGAATGGTGCCATGAAGAAGGGACAGGGGCAGACCAGCACAAAGATGGACACAGGATATAAGTGACTCCTTAGTTATGAAAGTGCTTGAGGCAGAGAGTTGGTGAGTGACCAAGTTTCTTTCAGGCAGACCATGATGAGAGCGACTGGTGCACATTTAGTCACTGGGCTCAGAGAATCAAAGAATCAATAAGTAGAGATTCAGAGCCGTTTAACTGTCCCTGCTGTAGACATCCTGCTGCAGTCACCAACGCAGAAATATTGAAACATGCTGAGTGCATTATTCTTACTGATAAGTGAATCACTACTTAACAGTTGGCCATACAGATGTCAGTCAGCAATGGTAGTGCCAATACAATTATATAAACTTGGATTTTCTTAGGCTACACAAGAAAGGTTCCTCAAAGTCTCAAAAATTACCATAGATTGCAAAGGAAGGCAGTTTCTTCTGAATTGTTTAAGCAATTCGGCCTAAAGGAGAGAACTTTTTATATAAGATCATTACATATGATGAAACCTGGGCACATCTTTTTGAATTTGAGACAAAAAGACAGTCAGTGGAGTGGAATCATCCACAGTCACCGGTAAGAAAGAAATTTAAGACTACTTCAGCTGGAAAGGTCATGATCACTGTCTCTGGGACTTAAAAGGTGTGAATCTTGTGAATGTTATGCAAAGAGGAGAGACAATCAATCCACAAGCTTACATTAGACACTGAAAAACACTCAGTGAGTGTTTTCACAGAGTTTGACTGCACAAGAATCCAGCAAACCTGCCTCTCCTTCAC